GTGTTTAGAAGAGGAAGTGATGATAAGATAATTTTTTTCTATTTAAACATTAAAATAGCATTTTGATAACAGCTAAATGTGACATAGATACTTTATAATGGTATAATATTTAAATGTATGCCCGAGAAACACATAATGTTGCCCCTTTAATGTGTGCATAATCAAATAAAAGCTGACCAACAGCCATGGACTACTGTTTGTCTTGGTGTGGCCAATATAGCTGACTCTAACCCTGCCCAGTAACAATGGAAAACTATTCAACTGAAAATGTATAGCACTGCTCCTTTTAGCATCTTCACCATGGACCTTCAGTGTAAACTGGCTGAGATGAGTCAGTTTGAGACCATGGTTTTCAGTGGTAAAAGGTGGAATGGCTCCCTCTACCCCCCAACAATGAGAGTGAATCATTGTTTGAAGTGAATGGAAGTGTTTTGGTAAAAGTGACTGTAGCTGCTTTGGAGCTGCTCTTTGCTGTTGAAGAAGCTTCACCAATCTTTGTTCCAGCCCTCGCCTACAGTCAAAAGATGTGGGTCAAGAAAAAAATAAATAAAATAAAAAAGCAGAAAGCAGATACACGTGACCTAAATTTTTAAATCAGACACTGCTTGGGTTCAGACTTATAGGTAGGGTAAGGATCATCCAGTGAGGATGGAGTTTAATGTTGCTCCTCCCCATCAAAAAGAATCAGAGTAGTTTAGCATTTGATCATCACACTTCTTGATTGCCTTGTTTTTAATTTTTTTTCTTCAGACATGTCCTGCTGGGACGAGTCCAGCAGATCCAGATCTCAATGTGTGGACTAGATACGGTGCATTCTTTCTGGCCTGGAAACGTTTCAGGATTCCAAAAGGAGGAGCCATCAAGTAGTGATGGGAAGAGTGATGTCTTCAACTTGTTTTCCTCCCTTCACACTGTTAATGTGTTGAACTGTAAACATTTTGGCTAAGGAGTTTGCAAATTGCTGTAATCACTGCCTAACATCAGCAATTAGGCATTTTTATACAGTTTATCTTCACATCTTCACCTAACCGTATTATTCCCTGCAGACTTTTAGTTACAACAAATTATAAGGCAAGACACAAAAGTATAAATTATATGTCTTGGGAACAGACTTGCAGCACACTATGTTCATTGAGATGATTTAGTTGTTAAAAAAGTATGCTTGTAAAAATAAAATATAGTACCAGAGGATGGTAGTGTTCTTAAAGAACTGTATAAACATAAAGAATTTGTCATTATTTTTTTTAAAATAAAAAACTTGCAGCTGTCTTAAAACATTTATGAAGAAACGCTGAAAAGACTATGGGGCTCAGTAACATTCAAACATCTACTGTATGTATAAACACATTATCTTTTGTCACTGACTTTAAAAAGTGGTTAATTAGCATGAAAATTTTATTGTCTAACATTTTAAATACAACAATATTTTGTAGTTTTTGTACATTAGCATGTTTTTTAGCTGGCTGAATTGTTGAGGTAAATACATGTGTATACATCAAACAGATCACAGTTTTTTTCTCAGGACATTTACAGTTTTTAGTTGGATATTTAGCTTTCGATGAATAATGTGAACAATATTTTAATAAGTTTTAAAATTTACCACACTGCAGCCCACTTTCTTCTACCTTGATTCTGTTTGTTCCAAAATCCCAGAGTGAAGAATTATGTTAAAAAAAGTCCAAACAAATCATTTGCACAAACTGGTGGAATATGAAAATGGCCCAAAAACATACAAGTTTTTACCTTTTAAGAGGATAAAAACAAGGAAACAGATCAACAGCAGGCTTCTTCTTCGTCCCATGGTGATGGCAGCCTCTCTCCTGAGCCTGTTTGCATCGATTTTAGCAGAACCAGCAACAAGTGGGAGGAACAAAAGCTCCACACAGACAGTGGTCTGTGCACTCATCACATGGAGGGACAGATGAATAGAAGCAGCACAAAGGTCTCCTGAAGGGGGGCATGCTGTTTAAAAACGGTAATGTTCTCAGTGAAATGCTAAATATTTTCTCACTGATCATTATCTGCAACAATTTAAACAATCGTGAAAAATTACCTCATGTGTCAGATTTTATGGAGTGGTTTGAAAAAGTATTTACTTGCAGCCTCCAAAATCTCTTTAGAAATAAACATTCAGGTTAAAATGAAGTCTAAACTTTTATTCAATACACACATGGTCAGTTCATAAACAAATACCCAATATATTCCTACGTCAAACATAAAACTAAAAATGAGATAAGAAACATTTTAAATACATACAGTGAAATTATAAATGATTAGATTACAGAATTACATCCAAAATCTGCTCAAAAAACTCTAACTACTGTACAAAAGTCATGAATAGTAAAATAAAAATAAAATAAAACAAAACAATAATAAAAAAGACAAATTTTCACAGACCATGATCCTCCTATGTCCTCACAACTATACTGTAAACACAAATTTTACACACTTGTTTACTAATTTGCCAGGCAAGAACAAGAATTTCGAAGCACTATGCTGAAGCTCATGGACTGCAAATGCGTTTAAAAGACATAAATCTGTTATGGGAAAAAACAGTGCTGCCAGTTGAAAAGGATGGTTTCCTTTGTCACTGTGAGGAACTGGGCAGCTTTTGTGAGTCTGCACAATAACTGCCTACAGATTTTCTCTCTAAGCATAGAAAACCTTATTAAGCTAAACATGCTAGAAAACAGAATATATGAACAAACAGCAACAAGAACAAGAGCTACACACATCAACAAGAGAAAATACCTGAAGTGTGTTTTCTACGTTTCTTCTGTTCACCATGGAGAGGGTGGGTGCTTCACCTTCTGGGTTTTGTTCTGAGGTTTTTTTTTTTTTTTTTTTGGTATTATTTACACTTCATCTTAGGACATGTGTTTTTCTTTTCAAGTTCTCCCAGAAGACAGAGTGCCCATGTCAGTTCCTCTTTAGGCAAATTTTAAAACTGTTTTTCTGAGCTGAGTGTGAGGGTTGTTTTATTTTATGATGTCTTTGACATAAAGAACTGTATAAAAATGACATGTTACAATCTCCTTTCACTCACAGTTCAAGAATGTTTTCAAATTATATATATATTATTGTAAGTATATTTTTTAACTAAAATATTTCATTTGAAATTATATGACCAACGTGCATACATATGTTATTGTCATTATTTTTTCTTTAGGTAACATAGTGTCTGTTTTTGCCAATGTCTTCAACTCCTCATCTAAATCGATGAGACCTAAGTTCTGTTTGCAG